ATATGTCATAATATTTTCATTAATGAAAATATAAATTAAATTATTTCTTAAGTTAAATGATGTATTATTATTTTTAGAACAAAATTAATACGAAATGGTATCATGATTTTTTTCTTGGAAGGAGTAGTACTAGTATGAAATCAGCGATGACATAATTCTCAACCCAAATCAGAGTCAGAGAGAACTTCTCTGTCTTTTTTTCCTTTTCTGGACTGACATTCTTCTGTTCAATCTTGTGAGGTATGAAATCAGTGAGGACGTAATGCGGCGATTAACCCAAATCAGGTAAGAGAAGCTGACTCCTTTTTCTTTTCTTTTTCAAATATTCAGTTTATCTTAGTTTTCCTCTTTGTTCACTCTACTAATACCAGGGGTGTCAATGAATATTTAAAAACCGACTAAACCGATCGAATCATACCGTACTGAACAGATTTTTATGTTCCTTTTAATAAAACCGTAGACTTTTATATAAATCTAAACCGAACCGATAATTAGGGTAGGTTTATTATTTTATGAAAATAAACCAAAAAAATATCGAACCGTACTGAATAAATTTACAATGTGAAAAATATTTATATATTAAGTTTAAAAATAATAAAGCATTAAATTTTTTCTGGGGATTTGGAATTATGAAATAGTTACAAGCCAACAAGTAATTAAACTTGAAATCCTAATTTCCAAACATATTATACTACTTCTATTGAATTCACTAGCAAAACACAAGGTATTGTAGCGATGTATTGAATATCTTTCCTTTCGTATGATTTAGATTTATTTTTTTGAATATTTAATCTTCTATAGACTTACTCTTGAGACCCAGCTTGGTTAATATCTTTCCACTCGTGTGATTTATATATTTTTTGTATTTGCTTAGTTTCTTTTATGCTGATGTAGAATAGTTGATAGATCTATACTCTAGCCATATTTTCTATATTTGTTAAATTATCAGCTTTTAAACTGTAAAAATGTCTAGAGAGTTTTGCTAAGTCCTATAAAAGTACGTATGTTATTGCATTCTACTTCTACTAGTAATTTTTACATGACATTTAAAAAGAATTACCGAAAATTTACCGAACCGTACCGATACCGAAGAGAAACCGACATGATTGGGACGATTTCGAAAAGTTTAATTTTGGTTATACATAATAGAACAACCGAAAAATTATTATGGTACAAATTTTATAAAATAACCGGCCGAACCGAACCATTGACACCCCTAACTAATACGATCAAATGACGTTAAACTCTAATTTCAGTTTCGTTTAATTCTCTGTTTTAAAAGGCAAAATTGGGACGCCCGGGGCTCGCCCCAGGGCGGAGCACTCGTAAAACGCCCCCGGGCTTATGTGTGGGGCTTAGTTCCGTGAGGCTTACGCCTCGGCCTTCGAGGCTTACGCCCCGGACACGCCCAACGCCCAGTGCACTGGCTCGCCTAATAGAACTTTATGTAAATGTATGTAACTAACCTAGTAAATCCTCAAATTTTCTTAATAAATCGTTGACTATTCAAAATTATTTTTTTTAATCGTAAATCATTAACTTAAAAGTATTTTATGTCATAATTAAAATAAAAATTATTACACGTTATCCACTAAGACTGCTATGATAGCAATTTTTAAAAAAAAATTATTTAATAAGTATTTATTTATTAACTTTTGTTATGTCTTTATTATATAATAACCTATTATTTTCTTATAATTATTTTCCTAAATTTTTTTTCACATTTACGAGATACAATACTTATTAATTTTATAGCTCAGCATTAGCTAGTAACTATTTACAAATAATTAGTTATCATGTTATTGTATGGTGAATTATGTGTCACTTTATTAACTTGTTGAAACTTAAAAACAAATGATGCTAGTGAATCATATTTAAATTGTAAATTATGTTTTTATAAAAATTCTCTTTCAAGTAGAAAGCATATTAAATAAAAGGAGTATTTTTTTTTATAAAAAAGTTAAATTATAATATTGAAATTCTTTCAAAATTCATTACTCCTTAAGAGATACTTATAAGATTTCGTATCGAATACATTACTTTTGATATTTGAGTTGAAACGAAATTTGCATATTATGGTATATGTCATACTTTTCGTATTATTCATAGTTGAATTATAATTGATAAATTTTTTAAATAGATTATTTGTTATAATTTAGTGATTTTAATGTAATTTTTATAATTATTTTTTATTTTATACTATCTTAAAATTATTAAAATTTAAAGATCCGTGGGACTTACGGCCCATGTCTCAGGGCTTACGCTTCGCCTTGTCAAAGGTAAAACGCCTCCTCTCACGCCCCCGCCTTTTAAAACATTGGCTTAATTTGCTTTAGTTTTGATTGTTGGGTCCAAATAAACTCTTACGGACATCCAAATTTCCCCATTTGTGATTGCCACAAAATGAACGTTTCCAATTTAGCTTACAATGTTGCAGCTTGCAACGACCTATATGCGTTGTACTTGGTAAAAATTGTGTGGGGTAGTCACTTTTTAAAGTGATATTTACTTTTTATCCAGCATTTTTAATATTTAGCAATAGTAGTCACTAGTTTATTAAAATTAATATAAAAAGACTGTGTTACCCTTTCTTCTATCTCTTTCATGTTAGGGAGAAGAACTGTGCCGGAAGGATTTTCTTCTTTAGTGTTTTTTTGGGAGACTTAGATTTAACACATTGTGAATTTTGGAAAGTGAAGAATTAAGCTTCCATTATAATCATTTTCCATGAAAGTGATATGCATACCACAAGATAATGATGGTGCATGTTTCAGTTTCAGTTTTCTTCATTTATTGGCATCTTCATCAAGACTTCAATTATTAGAATCTTACCATCTTACTGGTAACGGCCTATATCTCCACCACCACTCCCCCACCCCCCGCCAATGGCAGAAAAAGAAAAAGAACAAGAAAAAAAAAGGGAGAAAAGAAAACATGGAGAATAAATCTTTTAGAAAACAAACTTTCTGAGTTTTATTTATTTTTATTTTTCTTTTGGTTGGTTAGATTCTATAGTCTTTTATTTTTTTAGTTGTTTCTTTTTGTTATTAGCTTCTGTTGTGTAATTTGACATCAATCTTATATGTAAATTATAATTATTTTTTATTATTTTTTTAGTGAAAAGATACAAATATCGTTTGGTTTTCTGCTACGTTATGGATCCTGAACTTACAGTTACAAGTTCAAAAGTGAAGGACACTTGGTCCTGAACTTCGAGTTCCAAGTTCAAAAGTTAAGGACACTTGGTCCTGAACTTACAGTTACAAGTTCAAAAGTTAAGGACACTTGGTCCTGAACTTAGAATTACAAGTTCAAAATTTAAGGACACTTGTTCCTGAACATAGACTAACAAGCTCAAAAGTTAAGGACAATAGGTCCTGAACTTACAGTTACAAGTTCAAAAGTTAAGGACAATAGGTCCTGAAGTCCTGAACTTGGACTAACAAGCTCAAAAGTTAAGGACAATAGGTCCTGAACTTAGGCTAAGAAGCCCAAAAGTTAAGGACAATAGGTCCTGAACTTAAACTAACAAACTCAAAAGTTAAGGACACTTAGTCCTGAACTTACAGTTACAACTTCAAAACTTAAGGACATGTAATCCTGAAATTAAGTTAAAATGTTAAGGACATGTAGTCTTGAAGTCCTGAAGTTAAGTTCAAAAGTTAAGGACATGTAGTTCTGAAGTCCTGAAGTTAAGTTCAAAAGCTAAGGACATGTAATCCTGAAGTCCTGAAGTCCTGAAGTTAGGTTCAAATGTAAGGGACGTGTAGGAAGTCCTGAAGTCTTGAACTTAGAGTTCCAAGTTCAAAAGTTAAGGACATGTAGTTCTAAAGTCCTGAACATAGAGTTACAAGTTCAAAAGTTAAGGACATGTAGTCATGAAGTTCTAAAGTTAAGTTCAAAAGTTAAGGACATGAGCAGAAAGATATTTTCGTCCGGACAGTTAAAGTTTATTAAAGCAGTGGCTAAAGACTAAAGACATTTTAAACAGTGGCTTAAAAGTAAATACATGTGTTATTAGTGGCTAACCGTGCAATTTTTACATTATACTTGCTGTTGCGGAGCTTAATTTCGAAAATTATATATTATCACCCGTAGGCCCAAAAGTGCATATATAATTGGGTAAATTTTAAAAATAGCCAGATTTACAACTGGTCGTTCAAAAATAGCCCAATTTCAAAATTTAATCGAAATTTAGCCACTTTTTATATAAAGATAAATCTGAGCGAAAACACTGTTCAAAACCCGGAAAATACTCCAGTATATTATGCTGGAGTTCCAGCATACTTATCCAGTATGCTGGAACTCCAGCATAATATGATGGAGTTCTAACATAAGTACACTAGAACTGCAGCATAATATACTGGAGTTCCAGCAAGTATATTGGTCCGGTATAATATTCTGGAGTTTGGAGCACCGGTGCTCCAGTCTCCAGTATATTATATTGGAGCCAGCAAAGTATACCGGTACAGCATAATATGCTGGAGTTCATACACAAGTGCACCGAACTCCAGTATATTATGCTGGATCGGTCTCTATTGCAGCAAAATAGTGGCTATTTTTCATTGACTTAGTAAACGCTGACTATTTTTGACTGACCAGTCCGAAAACTGGCTATACCGTGAAATTTAAATAGGTTTGTCCAAAATCTCCTACAATTACGGGAAAGCAGACATCAGCAAAGTATTGCTTTTGCGGCTGAAAAATAACTTTTCAGAAAGTAGGTTAACAAAATTCTTATTGTTAGTTTATAGAAATTAAATACAAATACACACATAATGCAGGTTTGAATTAAAAAAGAAAGAAAACTGAAAGAGGGAGAAGAGAAACACATAATTGTAACAAGATTGGAAACCCAAATAGAAGTCACAGGAGCAGATGCCTCCAATAACAAGGCAAGCCTGCTCTTGAACAAGCAATGTATTCAAGAGAAAGAGAAAACAGAGCAACAAGGTAATTTGTTTCTGAAAAGGAATGAAAAATAAACAAACAAAGATGAATCAATTCTCCAACTCTAGTCCAGATCCTTGGAACTTGAGGAGTGTAGTTTTGTTAATCAGATGTTCCATTTCAGGAGTCAAGTAATTCTTCCAATCTCCAACCATTCCTTTCCTAAAATAGCTACTGTTTGGTACTCCATAAATTACAGAACCATTTTTGTTCACTTCCAAATTCCTCAACCTCTCCAAACTACACCTCCACACAACTTTCTCCACATCTTCTTCCTTCTCAAATGGCTTCCCAAGAAACAGAGCCAATTTCTTCACCTGCTCTTTAGGATCCCTTAACATCTCTTCATATTTCAAGAACAATATTTTATCAGGCCTCTTCTGATTTTCCATCCAATATCCCAACACATTTTCGAAATACGGTCCGTATTGGTGAACCCCTGTGCAGAATTCCTCAACTGCCTTTTCCAATGGATAGGGTTCTTGATTTGGCCTGAAAATGGAGTTGAAAAAATGCCATAAAGACACCAACGTGTCTTTTGGGTTCCGGGCTATGCATACAATCTTGCCATTGGAGTTCTTGACAGAATCAGGAAGAAAACTGAAAGGCAAATGTGTGTGAAAAAGTCTTGGAGATGGCATAGCATACAAATCAGGAGTTGGTTTTGTAGAGTAAATAGTGGACTCTATGGTCTGAACATGAAATTGAGGATTGTCCTTAGTTAAGAGATCTTCGTTTTCAGGAATATTAATGTTCTGGTGCAAGATGTATAGGCAAAGAGCTTTGAGCCAAGTAGTACCTGTTTTGGGAGCTGATGCTAAAATAACGTCGTCGTCTTTAGCTTGGAAGGAGGAGTTGAATTTCATTGCACATTTAATTAGGCCAGGCTCGAACCAAAAATCCTGCCATTTTCGGATTTCCATGACATCCCAAAACAGAGCATTTGGCAGCTCCTTAATCATAGCATCTTCACACTCCTCTGATGAGATGTTAGAATCTGTGATATTAGATTTTGTTTCTTGAGCAGCCATTGATTGGAGTTAAAGTTTTTAGTCACATAGTAAAACCTAGACTTTATATAGAATGGCTTCTGCTAAAAATGGAGACTTTGGATTCCCTAATAAGCATGAGTCGAGAGAACATGGTCTTAACGCGGAAATTTTGTTTATTATACATAAGGAGAAATTGTTTAGTAATTAAATATGTACGAGTCAATTTGATTGCTCAATGCTACGTTGAAAACTGTCTTGCTTTCCGTGTCATGAATCCTTGTGCACCTGTACCTGCAGGTCTAACCAAAAATATTTCTCATAGTTGAGTAATAAATAAAAGAAGATACTGCAAGTAATTAACACTCAGCATCTGAGCCGCGTACGGCGTTGGGGTGAGGACAATGTAAAAGATATTGCCAATATTAGAACAAATTACTGTAGTAAAATTTCCTATTACGTTTTAACTATGAGGGTGTTTGGATTGGCTTAAAAGCTTGTCAAACCAGTTTAAAAATATTTTTTGGCTTATTTGGATGTTTGGCAAATACAAAAAATCAAGAGCTTTTAAGTCAAAATAACTAAAAATAAGCCAAAAGCAATAAGTTGGTCTATCCCAACTTTTTTTTTTTTTGGCTTAAAAGCAACTTGAGTTTGACCAAGTAATTTACCCTATTATCCCTTACATACTTCTATAATTTCCAAAGTACCCTCTCTTCCTAAAACCTCTAGCCCGTTTCGTTTTCTTCCCATTTCTTCATATCTGGTATCATAACTTCAGGAGTATTTTGGCAAGACTTGTTTCTCAACTTCAAGAGCTTATAATTCCTTCTGATTCCACTTTTGATTCATTTGCATAATCAAATATGAAAGCAGATAACAAGTAAGTAACTTTTACGTGGTTCTTGAATTTTGAAAACTATTTTACGTCAATTTATTTACTTTTTGGGTAATTTTATATGAGTTGTTTTTATAATTAAGCATATTTTTTAATTGCGGTTATTAAATAATGCCTTACTAATAAGTACTTCATATTAATTAAAATAATCTTATCTAATCAGTATTATAACTTAAACTGAATTAATACACAAATTAATTTGCATTTGAGTTAATTTAAAATAAAAAATGCATCAATAAGCTTATTTTTAATGTTGACAGCTTTAAGGGCATCTCGGTCATTTTAACAGAAAAAAATGCTTACCAGCACTTGTTTACCAAATATTTCAATAGCTTTTTCTCAGCTTAAGCACTTCTATCCAAACACGTAACTGCTTATTTGTAAAACCAGCTCAAGCACTTGTGCTTAAAAGCTACTTTTTTCCAGCCAATCCAAACGGGCTCTATGTTAGCACGAACTCTCCAAAATGCTTCTCTATTTGTGTCGGATCCTTCAAAAATACGATACTTTTAAAGGATCATATATGCACTCCGTGATATTTTCGGAAAGTCCGAGTAACATAGTGTTTTACTACATCACTAGTATTAGCACCCACGCAGATACGCGGACACTAACCATATCAAATATTTGAGTTATTTGGATTATATATAAATAATCTTAAAATTTAAACCGTCTCGATAAATATAGATAATCATTGGATATTAATTAAGAAAAACAAATGAGAAAGATTAACCATTTCTCAAATTTGCTAGTTATAATTCTATTTTTCTTTTTTGGTACCATTCTCGTCGGTGTCATTGGATCCTAATATTAGTGGCAAAACAATCAAAGCTTGAGACTATGAAGGACTCTCTGGATATGACTTGACTATTTTAATACTACTTGAACTCTTATTTGGTGTGTTGATATCTTTAAAAAAATACTTCTATTTCAAAATTTTAGTTTCTAAAACGTTAATTTTTAATAAAAATAATTTTTATAGTAATGTATGTGTAATGACCCTGCCGGTCGTTTTAAGAATTAACGCCTCGATCCCCTATTAACTGTTTTCCCCGTGCTTATTTCTGCTATTGTGAGTTGCCGGTAGGATTCGTTTTGAGTTTCGCAGTGTTTTGGGACACTTGGTCCCTAAATGAGAGTTTAAGCTTTAGAATTTGGGCCGTAGTCGGAGCAGTATGAAGACGGCCTCGAAATGGAATTCTGTTGGTTCCTTTAGCTCCGTTGGGTGATTTCGGGCTTAGGGCGTGTTCGGATTGTGTTTTGGAGGTCCGTAGCTTGATTAGGCTTCAAATGCCGAAAGTCAAATTTTTGAAGTTTTCGGTTCATAGTGAGATTTTGATATCGGAGTTGGAATTGAATTCCGGAAGTTGGAGGAGGTCCGCCGTGTTATTTGGGGCGTGTGCGCAAAATTTCAGGTAATTCGGACGAGGTTTGATAGGCTTTTTGATCGAAAGCGGAAATTTGAAGTTTTGGAAATCCTTAGGCTTGGATTGGAGAGTGATTTGTGATTTTGGCGTTGTTTGACGTGATTCAAGGGTTGGAATAAGTTTGTATGATGTTTTAGGACTGGTTGGCATGTTTGGTTGAGGTCCCGGGGGCCTCAGGTGAGTTTCGGGTGCTTAACAGAAGTTGAATTGGACTTAGGAGAAATCTGAAGTTGGCTGAACCTGTTATAGCCGCACCTGCGTGTATGCGACCGCAGGTGCGGTCTTAGGCGATTTGGGGTTGGTCGCAGATGCGACCCAGTTACCGCAGAAGCGGCACCGCATCTGCGGAAAAGAGGTCACAGGTGCAGAAGCTGGACTTTAATGAAAAGCCGCAGGTGCGGTACGTTTGTTGCAGAAGCGGGACCGCAGGTGCGGTCCCATGGCCGTAGAAGCGGTTCCACCGGTCAGAAAAAGGGGAAGAATCGAGGGTTAAGTCTCAAAACCTTAGAAATTGATTTGAGAGCTCGGGATTGGCGATTTTGGGAGACAATTTCACCTGGGTGTTTTAGGTAAGTAATTCTTACTCGGTTTTGATTAATTTCAACGAATCTATGCTTAAATTCATCCTTCAAATTCGAATTTGGGATGAAAATTTGGAGAAAAATTGGAAAAGTTCTTAGGCCTAATTTTGGATTTTTGATCAAGATTTTGATGTCGGATTGGAGTAATTTCTGTATATATGAACTCGTGAGAGTATGAGGATTCCGAATTTGTAAATTTTACTCGATTCCGAGACGTGGGCCCGGGGGGCTTTTTTGCCGATTTTCCTAATTTCGCGTATTAGCTTCGAATTAATTAGTTGAATTACTTACTTGAAGTTATATTTATATTATGCAATTACTTTGAATAGATTTGGGCTATTTGGAGTCGGATACTCGTGGCAAGAACGTGTTATTGAGTTGATTGAGCTGGTTCGAGGTAAGTGGCTTGCCTAACCTTGTGTGGGGGAACTCCCCTTAGGATTTGGTATTGTTGATATATGAAATGCATTGTACGTGACGTGACGAGTGCGTACATGTGCTAATTGTTGAAAATCCGGTTTTCATTAAGTAACGATAATTGTGTATTTCTTCCCTGTTTACAGTACTTGAAATTTAAGCCTACTGCTAGCTTAGGAAAGCATGTCTAACTGATTCGATTGTTTTACCTGCTCAAATTGCCTATTTGAATTCTGTGCAGCATGCTAGGCTAGAAATACCTATTTTACCTTGGTATAAATTTGATTGAATTGAATATTCTTCGTGTTGGTGTTGTGTGTTTACTTTGGGACTACGGGCGATATCCCGGGAGATCCCCCTTGGCTGTTTATTTCGGACTACGAATGTGGTATTCCGGGAGATCCCCCTTGCCTGTTTATTTGGGACTACGGATGTGGTATTCTGGGAGATCCCCCTTGCCTGTTTATTTGGGACTACGGATGTGGTATTCCGGTAGATCCCCCTGCACATTTACATTGGAACTACGGGACTGCACCTGGTAGATTCCCTCAGTACTGAGTATTTACATTTGGGACTACGGATGTGGTATTCCGGAAGATCCCTTGCGCATTATGAGTTGGACTACGGGACGACACCCGGGAGATCCACTGGATATTTATATTTGGGGACTACAGGACGGTATCCTGGGAGATCCCCAGCTGTAATCTCTGTGTTGAGCTGTATTCCTTCTGTGATTATTTTGTCTCTATTGTAGTTGTTGCTACTCTTATTACCCTGTATTACTTTAATACTGCTTCTTTTCCTTATATATTATTGTATATGACCGGTAGGGCCCTGACCTTCCTCGTCACTACTCGACCGAGGTTAGGCTTAGCACTTACTGGGTACCGCTGTGGTATACTCATGCCCTTTCCTGCACATGTTTTTCGTGTGCAGATCCAGGTACTTCGACTCAGCCCTACTACCCTTGAGGTGAGTCGATTCTCTAGAGACTTCGAGGTATATCTGCCGCGTCCGCAGATCGAGGAGTCCCTTTCTATTCTCTCTTGTTGTGATAGCCCTTCTATCTTTTCTTTTGATTTAGACATTCCGGAGTTAGAGCATTTTGTCGTATTCATAGCTTGTGATTCATGGTATTCCGGGTTTTGGGAGTTGTTCGGTTTTGAGATCGTGTACTGTGTATGCCGAGCGGCATCTTAAACACTTTTATATTTGTTATCTTCGGTTTTATTAGTTTTTCCGCATTTGTTTCTTCTTCTTTGAAATTGTTAGGCTTACCTAGTAATAGGGACTAGGTGCTGTCACGACATGTTCACGGAGGGCGAACTTGGATCGTGACAAGTTGGTATTAGAGCTCTAGGTTCATAGGAGTCATGAATCACAAGCCGGTTTATTAGAGTCTCGCAGATCGGTACGGATACGTCTGTACTTATCTACGAGAGGCTATGTAACCGCTAGAAAAAATTCCACTTCATTTGACTTCCTTGTCGTGCAAGATTTTTGATATCGAAATTCTAAACTTCTATCTTCCATTCTTTCACAGATGGTGAGGACACGTGCTACCGGAGGTGACCAGACACCCACGCCCCCAACGAGAGCCGTCAGAGGTCGGGGCCGGGGTAGAGGCCATGGACGCTCATGCGATGTAGCTGGAGCACCCGCGCGAGCTGCTACAGAGGAGCCACCAGCAGTTCCCGCTGAAGCCCAAACGCCTGATAC